TTAAGATAAGTGTTTTAGACATCAAATCTGCCTTTTACAAAGTCTTTCTCAGATGCTTTTTATATAAAATTGCTATTACTAACATGCTATTTATTTTTAGGTTTGGTTATTTATTATACTATTCTCTAACTCCTATTTTTAATACTATCATCATGATCCCAGATTTATGTATAACAATCATATATGTAACGTCATTAAACATAATGATTATATGTGTAATGACGTTATGCATAACAATCATATGCATAACGATGCTAAGTATGATATACTTTTGTTAGAATAGAATAAATATAAAAATAAATAAATAATAAATAATAAATAATAAATACATAATTTATAGTATTAAATAATAAGATAAAATAGAAAAATAATAAAATGTAATAGCCATTGAACAAAGAGTTTGCCAGGGCACTGTGATCATTGCTGTAGTCACGTGATCGCTGTAATACGTTGATGTCATGTGATCGTTGTTGTATATAGTGTTGATTTCCTATATAATACTGTAATAAATAGTTATGTTACAATATTTTAGTGGATAATTAAAATATATTATACCAAAAAGAGTTAAGTCTTTAATTATAGGTCAAAAACAGAAAACTGCCACAGGTATATTTCAGCAAGAATTCAAAATCCGATGTATCATATAATTTAATTAGAACAATAATATTATTGTTATAAGATATAAATACCATCAAAAAAAAACTTGAAATCAGGCTTTTAATTATATTTTGTGTACAGTTAGCCATCTATTAAATTGATAGATAGCTAATTGTATGCAAAATATAATTGAAATCCCGATTTCAGATTTTCTTTTGACAATACTCATATGTAGATAGCATTAATTAAAACAAAAAAACAAGGAATCTATTGTTCAAATACCTCCTCGTGCTAGATTGCTCTTTTGCTTATATAATTTTGATCTATAAAATTTATCCAAAAAAATGATCTAACTCAAATAATAAAATTTATTAAAAGATCTGATTGATGGGTAATCTATTGTAAAATAAAAAACTCACCTATCTTTAAATCAAAATAGCTTGTCTGAAGCACAAATAAATAATAATGCTTGTTTATGCTATTATTGTTTATACAAGATTATATCTACAAAAATCAAATGATTTCAAATATACTAATGAAAAAATCAAATTTATTGCTTATACCTATAAGACAATTTGAATCTTGCCAAATACAATACTTTAATAAAGATATAGAAAAAAAAACTTCTACAATTTGTTAGTAAAATAAATCAAAAATTTCTTGAAAAAATAATTTATTTCTTAGTAAACCACATCTGCAATTATTGTATTCTTCTGAAAATAAGCATCTCCAAAAATAAGCACCTCTACAATTCATATATACCCAAAAATAAATACCTCTTATATAATAGAAATAAGCAACAAAATATCTAGTTATTCAAATTATTAGATGAGATTATATCTGAAAATAAGCAACCTTATAGAAAAAAAGGTGTGCTTAGTTTTGGAGGAATACAGTAACCAAAATTTATCTATAATTAAAATATATTAAAAACTATAATAAGTATGAAAATTAATAGCTTTCACAATTATCTTTTTTTAACTACCCTTTGTTCTTAAAAATCATGTTTTCTATATTTGTTGCATTTTGTTTTGTTAAGATAGTTAATAGAAATGACAAATTCATAACCAGAACTGTATTATACTATATTACTGCTAATGATGATGAATTCAGAGAAATTACCTACAAAGGTTTCACTGGAAATAATGAAACATTAATAAATAAATTTGAAAAAATTCTATTGTGCTTATAGTAGGAAGATATGTCTATCATGAAAATGTTGAATATATAACTTCACTAACTTGAAAAAAAATAAAATTTAACTATTTAAATGGGATTAGATCAAAATCCCAACAACTAAAATCCTGACAATCAAAATCCAGACTAAAATTGATCATAAATACAACTAATTCTAACCTAATATATACTAACTTGTTGAGATTTCAACATTGTTAAGATTCTTTTTGTTGAAATTTTGATCAGCTTTTCTATTCAAACTATTAATATATTTAATCCTTAAGGTCAGCCTTGTTCAAACTATACCAATTTTATCCTCTTATAATGGCACCACCATTATATCTGAAGATCTTCCTTGTGCCTTTCCCTTATTAAAATACTCTGCCCCTGCTATAACCAACTCGTTTAAGTCCAATAAAAGTGTAGATCAGCAAAGCTTTATATTATCAAAGAAACTGTATAATGTTGTGACTATCAAAAAGCTAAAGACTCTGATATTATCGTATTATACACAAACACCAATAGCCATTATAATTCTCTCAGAGATAGTCTAAAAAGACTGTCCTCTCAGTAATTAGAAGATTTAAACTTGGCCTTCAAAGCCAAATGCCTTATATAATTTCTTCTAAAATGAATATAGTTATGTGGCTAATGAATCCCAATCATCTAACCTAACTTTAAATAGAAAAATGAAAGTATGCAAAGAATTAAATAACCAACTTGACTTAGTTGAAGACCAATATGCATCAATAAACTCTCAAACATCTAACAAAAAAAATTTACACCTTTTGCCTCAACTTCAACCTTTTTGAAAGACAAATCTCTAACTAACAACCTTGTAACTCTAATATCTCAAATTAGAAATGATGAAACCACTCTTCAAAAACCTTCCAATTCTCAATATCTCTCCTTTGTTACCTCTCATCAACCTTCTACTACAACTCAACAATTGGATATTACATTTTACCAGTCTTCTGATAAATTATCTATTACAGAACAATAAACTTAGAATAAATTTGCTTTCAATTCTTTTTTTTTTCTATAAAAAAAATCTAAATTTCTTTAAATTGTCACACTTTACAAAAATGATTGTCTTTGTCAAATTTATATAAAGTTTAAAGTGCTCTCTATATAAAATAATAAAGAATTTAAATAAATAATTCTAAATATTATATAAAATAACCAACATTACTTAATTTACTATTATACTTATCTTAAAATTATCTATACACACTAAAAAAAAACAAAAAATAAACTTAATACAGCCATTCCTCATTTATATCAACTCATTTGCATTTTAATTATTCATGTTAATAGTGATGTTAATAGTGATATTAATGAGAAATTATTAAAATTGATATATATAATAGAAATTTAATATGATTTTAATTGCATACCGATTTTGTGCATCCAATATGCAGAGTTATGCATGATTCTCAAATTCTTTGTGTACATGGTTTTGCCAATAACAATAACAAACCACATATTCAGTTTATACACTCCAAAATATTTCTTAAAAAAACTTTAAGTTGAAGTTTATACTAGATAAGCTACCAACACTACTCATCTACACTACAGACACTCAAAGAAGTATACCTATCCAATTTGTAACTGATATATTCAAGCAATTAAGAATAATATCTACTAGCTCGCCTGTTTTAAAAAAAACAGTATTTCTACAACAACTCATAATAGAAACTGTGTTAAAATTTGCAGCAAAACAAGATATCCAGTTGTCAAACCTACATCATTCTGCCAAATTTTTTATTAGCAACTCAAACATATTTAATATTCAATACTACAAAGTCTAATTCCTAACAACATTCAAGTAACCACCTCAATCTCAAGCAACACCTTTATTAAAATTCTACACAAGATATCAGCTAATATATATAAACATTATGGCTAAAGCATTGCAAAAATATACACCAAAATGCACTTCTAATAGAACTAACACTATTACCCCACCCCACCCTTCTACACACCACATAAGCATAGCCAAATATAGGGAGTGGGAAAGAATCTTTCCCACAACCAACATATCTACATCTTACGTAGCTAAACTAAATCTTGTGAAGGCAGATAGCCTACTCTAGTAGAGTTTTGAGCTGAGGATAAATTAGTCCTAGCTGTAGGACCCTGTAATAATTCATGTATCCCATTTAAACAATGTAACGCATAATTATTCAATAAAGACCAAGGCCAGGCCTCACTCCATTAATAAAAAAAAGCGAAAGAATTGTGAACTCACCCCTCAGTACCCAGATCAACACAAACTTTACGTGAATTGTTGTCATTCTATCGATACAGCGGCATCGCCACATTCTGAAAACGTGCACTATGTTCATTTACCAATAGTAATTGGATGGAAATTAGATCCGGATCAGAATTTATAATTATTGGATGTGTAACACCTAATGACAGTTTTATTTGGCAGGTGGTACTGTACTATAAGTTACGGTTATAATGATCGTTTCACATAGTAAATAAAGGCTTTAAATTTAGTGCACCAACTTTGGCCCCCCGGGGCCAAGGTTGGTGCATTAAATTTAAGACAGAACATCTAATGACAGAATACTTGAAAATTTTTCTTTCCGGAATAAAAATAAGAATAAAACAAACAAATCTACTATCTTTAACACCTTATGGGAGGCGAAGCCACCTACATGATCATGTCTCTAGTTACTGAATACAATAAATTTATAAATAAATGTTTTATGTCAATAAGCAATAGTTGTTCCAAACATTTTAATACGTAATAATAAACATAGATATTTAAATATTTACCAATGTTAAATTTAACCTTTTAAATTACATTCCAATATTAAAATAATGTGTAGAGAATATTTTAATAAATAATTTAAATATTTTAACGACTCTACAATGGCATGCTATGGAATTTATCAATTTATTTAACTATAGATGATGAGGACCGAGTTGAATTTATTAACAAATAACAAATAAAAAAATTCCAAAATAAACTAATTGTTATAAAATTGTAATAAATTATTCTATTATACACTAAAATAGGTAATAGAATTTAGAACCATTAAGCATTCATTTATGCAAACAAAAAAACCTTTAAAAATAATAAAAATACTGTAAGTAATATAAATAGATAATAGAATTAAGAACTATTAAGCACTCATTTATGCAATTAAATAATTCAAAGGCACAGTAATAAAAATAATATAAGACATGTAGCAACAATGATCTAGGTAATAATATTAAGGATGTTTTAGATATAGAGTAAATGCTGTCGCATTGGCATCTTTTCTTTGTAAATTTCCTAAAACCCAATTCTTCTCTACGGTAGCCAAATACGAATAATGATTGTAGGCGGTAGAATCAGTATGATTTGGTGGAGGAACAACAGGAGAACCGAGAAGAACAGAGGCAATGTGATTGTTTGCAGTACCATCATCTTCATCAAAAGTGATAAAGAATAATGTATTGGTTGTAAAAGCTGGTTGGGCAAGCTTTGGTTCAAACCATGATTGAAACCAATTCATAGCAAATGCTATACCAGTATCCTGTCCATCATTTTTTATATTTGGTACATAATAGACATATTGTGGTACTTGATTTGAGTTTATGTCAGTATCAAGTTGGGTGCCAGGAACTATTTTCGCACAACGACTGGGATTTGTACTTATGTCTAACATTGAAATGAAAGGATTATGTTGCCTTGTATATCCGTTATAAGTTGCTCCGAGATAACAATTACCAGCTATAAAATGATACGGATAAAAATCAAAAAAAAGTCATGATTCAATGATAAAAATAATACATGATTCAGTGATAAAAATAATATACACATACGATAATCTTCCATATAAGCTTTCCAAGAGACACCTTTAGCTTCAAGAAGATCGACTACATTCTTGCCAGGAATGTTGTAAATGCCACCGTCGGTGACACCAGCGGTTGAACCATAAATTTGTGCAATATAATTTGGCTAATAAAAAACAAGAATAGTATTTTATAATGTTATTTTTTAATATTATTTTTAAATTTTAATATTGAAAAAAATAGAATTAAACATACCTGAGACGGATGTGCAATCGCAAAATAATTCGAAAGAAGAAGGCCATTTTGACTGTTAATTAAATTTTGCAAATAAGGTTGTGCTATCGCTTTACTGTATGCAGTGTTTTCAAAAATGATTAATACAATTCGGTCAAAATATGTTCCTGTTAAGATAGCATCGACGGTCGCCCCGAAAAAAGCGGCAATTAATAAAAGAATGACGGATGTAAAATACTTCATCCTTATTAGCATGTAAAGATTATATGGAGGTAATATGAAGGTGAATTCATTAATATGACATAAATTATTCACGGAAAAAATTAATTGTGTAAAATCTCTAAATAAAAAAGACTGGTGCTAATTTGCCAAACCGTATACAATGATTATCAATTATAACATTGTGAACTATCATCCAAAAGATCCTACATGCGCTAACGTTAATAAATTCTGCAAAAACATTCTATTTGTTTTTTTTTTTTTTAATTTTGCGTTGAATAATTATTTGTATACTGTAATACTGTAGCATTAAACTTATTAAAATTAATTCCTTTGTTTTGAATTTTCCTGATCGTGTTACGTTACACCTGATCTCTAAATTGCTTGGCTTTTATGTGATGCGGCTACGAAAGACACAGCGTGTAGGGGGATTTGTCCGCACACGTCATTATCAATGCACCTCATTAAGCTTACAATAAGCATTTGGATTATTAAGAATGAAATGAAATTATAAAGTAAAATTTGACAAGAAAAAAATATTGTTAGAGCACAAAAGTCTGTTTGTTATGTAAGTTTTTGAGATATGAACAATTTTAAGAACGAACAATTTTTTTTACGTTATTCCTGATCGTGTTACATTACGCTTGATCGCAATTTAATCATTGGTCAATTATCACATGTGCGGACAAGTCCTCCTGCATCCTGATACTGTTATGCGGCTACAGTAGCCATGGCTACAAATATATTAATTCTACAGTATTTATTAAATTTGAAATTTAGTATTTACGTTAATAAAATTCGAAATTCAAATTATACAGTATATTTAATATTAAAACTGATGTAAATTTGACATTTAAAATTACGTAGCACCGTATTAATGTTGCACATCCCTTAAATAGATTTTAAAATGCAATTAAGTTGAACCGAAATTTTAAATTCACTCAAATTGGTAATGAATTTCATTTTTGATTAAATTGTAATATATTAAAGTTACATTAAATTATCACAACCGTGGATATTAACAATTTCACCTTACATTTATAGCGAATTTTTTCACATTTACTCTTGTAACTACATCTCATATTGCTAATTTGTGTTATGGATTGTATTTGCGAGCTTCTCGTATGCTTATATAAATACTATCCAATTCATAACCCTTCCAATCCCTAAAATATTTCAATGGTATTACTGTCGCCCTTTCCAAACCGGTATGCATGGTGGACAGCTTCTGTATCGGTTTTGGGGTTATTGGATTTGAAAATATCACATGATCTAATGGTCTGAAACCTGCCAATCAAATTGCAGAATTGGTGTTGCTAGGTTTGTGGCTCAGATTTTCAATAATGAAAATTCACTAAAAGTTTATTGATGTTAGGGTTAGCGTTTATATTAAAGTTAGGTGCTAGCAGATTATATAGCAAACTTGCTCAAGGAAACGTTTCGTTAGAGCATTAAAGGAGGTTTTTTATTCAGGTTTTTTGAGAAATAAACGATTTGTGATTTGTACTCAGGTAATCAGTGTCGCATGTATGCCCATCATTGATTTGATTGGCTGTGTCTCATGCGACTATAGCCAACAATACTGGAAACTTAAATAAATTGGCTATCGGATATCAGAAATGACAGGTTATCGGATATTACATATGAACCGGCATGTTTTGTTTATGGCAGTTTATCGGTTTTGGGAGGGCTGATAATATATTGCAATATGATTAGCTTTAAAAATTTTTTAAACAACATTTAAGCAAAAAACAAGCTCTTGTATTCGGTAAATTTTTAATGACGAGGTTAAAATTTATAGAAAAGCAATTTGTTTGATTGGCTAGTGAAAATCAATTGCTTAGGTAACTTTTTTCTATAGTTTAAAGTACTTTTTTAAGAATTTGATATTTTACCAACAAAAATCTACTGCAAATATCATTAATAGTTTTAGAGAATGCTATTACTGTTCACAGTACAAAAGAATTTCAAAAAAATCTTAAAACCAATGAACTTTATTTTAAAACCAATGAACTTTATTTAAAAAACAAAATATTTTAATATTTATTAGACAATACCAAATGATACTGTAAAATAAAGGAGCTAATATTTAAGAGCTCAATATAACTTCTAGGGATTGTTAATTGATTATTCTCGAGGATACCAGAGTTAGTTATTTAACAATTAAAGCAATTAATAAAATAATTATATAAATTTTGTATATTTTATGTACCCTTGCATAAATATGCATAATTATACAAGGGTGTATAAAATATGCAAGGATATATAAAATATGCAAAATTTATATAATTATTTTATTAATTATTTTAATTTTTGTAATTATCAAATAATTAATTTTGGTACTCTAGAGAATAATCAATTGACAATTCTCAAAATGTTATATTGAGCTCTTAAATGTTACTTACAAAGGTAACCAGAAGCATTTTTATTTAAAGTACCTGAGTATATTAGATAAATAAGTTTTTTATTATTAACTATTTAATTTAAATAGAAATAAGTTTATAATAAAAATTTCTAAATTTTTAGTTTTAATATCCAATAAATATAAAGTTCAAATAATGTAATTTCTTTATTTTAATTTATAAAGAAGTTTAATTAAATTTTAATAAAGATAGAGACATAACCTCACCTTTGAAAATTAAAAAAAATTATAATAAAAAAATTTAGATTTAATGCTTGAATATATTCTATTCTTGAAACTTTTTTTTTTTTTTTTTTTTTTTGTTGTAAATGCCATAGTTGAAACTTTATTTAAAAAAGTAGAGAAAGATCTACAT